CTCACTAACACTTTCTAGCTAGCTGAAGCGGAGGGAAGCAAATAGAGCAACACAATAAATTGCATAACCCAGACATTTAACCAATAGGCACCAACATGTTGTTCTTATTACAAAGAAAGTTTTCTTATTTTTTATTTCCATTGTTAGATAAGTTGAGATACAGTCTTAAGATTACACATGCCTAATTTTTTTTTTCCATTTCAAATAAACTAAAACATTAGACTTCACAAAATATGCTCATCATAATTATCTTTATCTAATTTAATGTACTTTTCACTCCCTTCCCCACCTTGATTTTATTTGCTTTTGTTTGAAAGTGTGTGACTTTTTTTATTTTCTTCAAAAAGCTTTGTTTAATGCATTTGCCTTTCATTTGATTCAAATTTTATTTTTTGTTTTTGATGTGGTTGACTTTCTTTTGATTCAATAAAATTTGTTAAATGCATTTGAATTTCAATTGATTTAATTAGCTTTGTTAAATGCATTTGACATCCATTTGATTTAATTATCTCTGTTTGAATGTGTTTGACTTTTATTTGATTCAATAAACTTTGTTAAATGCGCTTAACTTTAATATGATTCAATTAGCTTTGTTTGTTTGAATGTGTTTGACTTTTATTCGATTCAATAAGCTTTGTTAAATGCGCTTAACTTTCATATGATTCAATTAGCTTTGTTTGTTTGAATGTGTTTGACTTTTTTTTTTATTCAATATGCTTTTTTAAATGTGCTTAACTTTCACATGATTCAATTAGCTTTGTTGAATCATTTGATCGCTCAATTAGATTTGTTTGAATGTCTTTGAGTTCATTTGATTCAATAAGCTTTGCTCAATGCATTTAACTTTCATTTAATTTAATTTGCTTTGTTTGGGTGTGCTTAACAATCATTTGGTTCAATTAGCATTTGATTGAATGTGTTTGACTTTCATTTGATTCAATTAGCTTTGTTTGAATGTTTTTCACTTTTATTTGATTTCATTATCTTTGTTTGAATGTGTTTGAATTTCATTTGATACAATACGTTTTAATAAATGAATTTGACTTTCATTTGATTCAAGTAGCTTTGTTTGATTGTGTTTGACTTTTAGTTGATTAAATTAGCTTTGTTAAATGCATTTGACTTTCATTAGATTCAATTAGCTTTATTTGAAAATGTTTGACTTTCATTTGATAAAATAAAATTAAATTAGCTTTGTTGAATCCATCTGACTTTTATTTGATTCAATTAGATTTGTTGAATGTGTTTGACATTCATTAGATTTAATTAACTTTGCTAAATCCATTTGGCTTTTATTTGATTCAATTAGATTTGTTTGAATGTGTCTAACTTTCATTTGATTCGTTTAGCCTTATTTGAATGTGTTTGACTTTCATTTGGTTTAGCTTTGTTTGAATGTGTTTGACTTTCACGCGATTCAATTTATTGCTTTGCTGAAAAAATTTGAGTTTCATTTAATTTAATTAGCTTTCTTTGAATGTGTTTGACTTTCATTTGATTTAATAAGTTTTTTTAAATGCATTTGACATTTTTTTGATTCAACTAGCATTGTTAAATGCATTAGACTTTCTTTTGATTCAACTAGCGTTGTTAAATGAGTTAGACTTTCATTTGATTTAATTAGCTTTGTTTGAATGCGTTTGACTTTCATTTGATTCAATTCACTTAATTTGAATGTGCTGGACTTTCATTAGATTTAATAAGCTTTGTTGAAAGCAATTGACTTTGATTTGATTCAATTAGCTTTGTTAAATGCATTTGACTTTCATTTGATATGATTAGCTTTGTTTGAAAGGGTTTGACTTTCATTTGATTAAATAAGCTTTGTTACTTGAATGCATTTGACATTCATTTGATTCAGTTTGCTTTTTTAAAATGTGCTTAACTAACTACCATTTGATTCAATTAGCTTTTATTTGAATGCATTTAACTTTAAATTTAATTTGACTCAACTAATTTTGTTAGAATGTGTTTGACTTTCATTTAATATAATTAGCTTTGTTGCAGTGTGTATCACTTTTGTTTGATTTAATAAGCTTTGTTAAATGCATTTGACTTTCATGTGTTTGACATTTAGTTGATTTAATTAGCTTTGTTCAACCCACTTGTCATTTATTAGATTCAATTACCTTTATTTTAATGTGTTTGACTTTCATATGATTCCACAAGGTTTGTTTAATATATTTTGTATTTGATTCGATTAGCTTTGTAGAATGCATTTGTCTTTTATTTGAATTTTTTTTTTTTTACTTTCAATATTCATTAAATTAACTTTAATTTGTTTGAAGTGTTTGATTTTGATTTGATTCAATAAGATTTATTGAATTCATTTGACTTTTATATATATATATATATATATATATATATATATATATATATATATATATATATATATATATATATATATATATATATTAGCTTTGTTTACATGTGTTTGACTTTCATTTGATAAAATAAGATTTGTCTTGAATGCATTTTACTTTCATTTAATTTTATTTTTCTTTGTTTAAATGTGTTTGACTTTCATTTGATACAATTTGCTTTGTTTGAATAGTTTTGACTTTTGTTTTATTCAATTAGCTTTTGTTTGAAAGTATTTGACTTTCTTTTGATTTAATAAGCTTTGTTTGATGCATTTACTTTCATTTGATTCAAATAGCTTTTTATAAAATGTGTTTGACTTTCATTTGATTTCGTAAGCTTTGTTCAATGCACTTGCCTTTCATTTGATTCAAATAGATTTTTTAATGTGTTTGACTTTTATTTGATTCTATTAGCTTTGTTTAATGAATTTGACTTTCATTTGATTGAATGAGCTTTATTTGAATGTGCTTGACTTTATTTGATTCAATCAATTTTGTTGTATACATTTGACTTTCATTTTATTTAATTAGTTTTGTTTGAATATGTCTGACTTTCATTTGATTCCATAAGGTTTGTAAAATATATTTTGCATTTGATTCGATTAGCTATGTAGAATGCATTTGTCTTTTGTTTGAATTAATTAGCTTTGTTTGAATGTTTTTTTTTTCCAATATTGATTAACTTAGCTTTAATTTGTTTGAAGTGTTTGATTTTGATTTGATTAGATAAGCTTTATTGAATGCATTTGACTTTTTATTTATATAGTAGATTTGTTTGCATGTGTTTGACATTCATTTGATTAAATAAGGTTTGTCTTGAATGCATTTGACTTTCATTTATTTTATTTTTATTTATTTAAATGTGTTTGACTTTCATTTGATTCAATTTGCTTTGTTTGAATAGTTTTGACTTTTGTTTGATTCAATTAGCTTTTGTGTGAATGTATTTGACTTTCTTTTGATTTAATAAGCTTTGTTTAATGCATTTACTTTCATTTGATTCAAATAGATTTTTTAAAAATGTGTTTGACTTTCATTTGATTTCGTAAGCTTTGTTTAATGCACTTGCCTTTCATTTAATTCAAATAATTTTTTTTAATGTGTTTGACTTTTATTTGATTCTATTAGCTTTGTTGAATTAATTTGACTTTCATTTAATTCAATGAGCTTTATTTGAGTGTGCTTGACTTTATTTGATTCAATCAATTTTTTTGAATACATTTGACTTTCATTTTATTTAATTAGTTTTGTTTGAATATGTTTGACTTTCATTTGATTCAATTAGCTTTATTTGAATGTGTATGACTTTCATTTGATTCAATAAGCTTTGTTGAATGCATCTGAATTTTATTTGATTCAATTAACTTTGTTTGCTTTTTTTTTTTCTTTCGTTGAATTCGTATTTGGTTTGTTGAATGTATTTGGGTTTCATTTAATTCAATTAGCTTTGTTAAATGTACGTACTGGACTTTCATTTGATTATGTAAGCTTTGTTTGAATATGATTTGACTTTCATTTGACTCAATAAGGTGTATTGAATGCATTTGACTTTCATTTATTCATTTTTTTCCTTAGGAATGCATTTGACTAATATATATAATTTTATTCAATTAGCTTTGTTTGCATGTGTTTGAGTTTAATTTGATTAAAAAAAGGGTTGTTGAATGCATTTGACTTCCATTTGATTCATTGTGCTTTGGTTGAATGTGATTATGAGTTCTATTTGATTCAATTACTTCATAGTGTTGAATGTTGTTGAATTTTATTTGATTCAATTTTCTATTTATATGAATGTGTTTGACTTTTAATTTATTCAATAAACTTTGTTAAATGCATTTGACTTTCATTTGATTCAAGTTAGTTTGTTTGAATGTGTTTGACTTTCATTTGATTAAATTTATTTTGTTTGAATGTGTTTTTTGACTTTCATTTGTATTTATATGCTTTATTGAACGCATATGACTTTCACTTGAATCAATTTGCTTTGTTGAAATGTGTTGACTTTCAGTTGATTCAATAATGTGTTGACTTTCATTTAATTCAATTTGCTTTGTTTTGATAATGTGTTTGACTTTTATGTGATTCAATTTGCTTTGTTTTAATAATGTATTTGACTTTCGTTTGATTCAATTAGCATAATTGATTGCATTTGCCTTTTATTTTATATAATTACCTTTGTTTAATGCATTTGATTTTCATTTTGTTCAATTCGCTATGTTTGAATGTGTTTGATTTTCATTTGATTCGACAAGATTTATTGAATACATTTGACTTTCAATTGATTCATTTTATTTGTTTGAATGTGCTTGACTTTCATATGATTTAATTAAATTTTTTGAATACATATTACTTTCATTGAACTAAATTTGTTTTGTTCGTTAAATGCATTTGACTTTCGTTTTATTCAATTTAATTAATGGAGATTGGTTTGGTTGAATCATATGAAAATCTTATCCTAGTTAGTTTTGATTTCATCAAATGACGAAGAAAATAAAATTAAAGAATTAAGATATTTTTGATAATTTTGAAAGATAAAGATATTTGAGAAAATTTTAATAAGTCAAGAAAAATAATCAAAAATAAATTTTTAACAACTATAATTGGAGTGATCAAAATTGTTGTTCCAATTGTATAAGATTAAATTAAAATCTAAATTTAATTTAATGTTCAATAATGGATCCTTTTATGTACACCAAATAATGATTTAACTCTAACATCTAAATTAAACTACAATTTAATTTAGCTAATTCAAAGATCCAAAGACATGAGAAGGAGCACAAGGAGAGTTCTTCCAAGCCTTGGCATGCGTCTTCAAGATCTCTCTAGCCTTCTCCTTAGTCTTTGCCTCACAATCAACTTGTAATACCAAGCATAACTTCGTCACCACCCCTAGTTGCACCATCTCCTGCACCACACTCGGAGTCCCCGAAAATTTCGAAATGGCGTACAATATCTTTATCCCCCTCTCCGTAGCAAAATGAGACACTCTTAGGATTTTCTTCGACACCACAGCTAAACCCGCAGCATGGCCTAGCAACTCTGCCCTTCCCTCAGCACACCCGCTGAGCTGGTCCAACACTGCTAGTACCATTTCAATATTCCTCCTCTCATTACACAACAATAGAAACTCGATCATTACTGGGACCGCCCCTGCCTCGACAACCCTAATCCTGTTCCTCCCCCAGGGGCACGCCAAGGCCAACACTTTAAGCGCAGCCTTGGTAGCCTTAGGGGAGACATCATCTTTTATCAACTCGACTACTTGTACAAAATGTTTGCGACTAAATGCGACTAACTGCGTTGGCTCGGCTACTTGAACTAGCTGCTTCATAAGCCCTATAGCATACGATCTCGACTCGTAGCTATTCTTTTGCATGATCCTCACCAATGAATCAACCAACAATCCATCATTCTCCTTCAACACTTTCTTTAACACCATCTCATCCGATATCTGAAGATGAGATAGTATCCTCAAAGCTTCATCGCTCACACTATTGTAAGTACTATACTTATTATCTTCATCCGACTCACTAACCACAATCAGGCGCACCAAGAACTCGGCAACACCTGGGGTAGTCTCCAAGCAACGCTTGTTAGCACTACTTCCAAAAGCAATAGACTTGAGCTTGTCAAGATTGTTAACAAGGCGGTGAGCCGACGAGTTGGAGGCATCATCAATAAGCTTCAACACCTGTGTTTTCGTAACCGGGGGCTTCGGGGTAGGAAAGCGTTCAACGCCATAAGAAGCATTAAGAGTACACCAAGATTGAGCAAGCCTCCTAAGAGTATGATTAGGTGTAAGAAAACAATCACAAGAATCAATATTAAGAGGTTGTTTAGTAACAGGACAAGTTGTATTATTGTTAGTAAACACCCATTTTTCAATACTTTCACGATCATAAGTTATTCCTGTTGGAACTGTTATTGGATCTTTCATTATTTGTAATGAAATTGGACAAATGAAAAATGATGGTACATCTATTTCTTCATTATGATCCATTTTTTTTGGTAATTTTTTGGTGATTTTTGGTTGACTTTTTAAAGGTTTATTTTGTAGGAATTAATTAAGATGTAATTGTAAGTAATATTTTGGATTTGATGTGTTTGAAGGTTTTGGAAATGAAGAGATTATTTGTTGTTATTGTTGATGGTTTTGGGGTTATATATATGTGCAAGGTTGGTGCAGTGTATGAAATTCAAAGGTCAAAACACGGAAAAAACAAAGAAATGAAAATTTATTTTTATTAAAAATTAAAGTAGACTTTTCAAACTAATTGAAAGGCTCAAGACAATCGTATATGACTAATACAACTTTTCTTCTTATTTTGATTAATAAATTACAACCTGGTATTTGCAAAAGTTAAGCGGTAATATTATTATTATTATTATAATAATCAGTTGTGTTAGTGGAAATTTTCTACAAAATTCAGGAATATTCTTTTGGAAAAACAAATTTGTTGATTATGTCAAGATTAGGAGGAAATTTTAAGGATTTTGCTTATAATCCCATGATGAGTGAGTAGTAATAATTTTCTTAAGTAACAAAAATTTTGAGCCTAAACTAAATGTATTCATATCACATTCGACCTATTGTGGTCAATTATGCAAAACTTCGATACTAAAAGTTGTTAAAATACACGGTACATATATGTATCTCATGGAATTGATGTTTGACTGTAAAAGTGATTGCGTATAACACTTGAATATTGTTTGACATCTTTGATCATAAAAAGTCATACATAGCATATATTTTAGAGATGGAGATTATTGTACTCGTATAACGGTACAAGATAGCTACAAGATCCTGCATTTATTGGAAAGTTAAATCTATGCAATTTCGTTGAGTCCTACCACGTACATTATACTAATTTGCTACTCAACTTTTCTTGTAAATCTTTTAAATACACATAATCTTTTATTAGTCTATATAAAATTGATTTCAAGGACTTTACTTAAGACTATTAAACATAATAGGTGCACTAATTAAACACAATTTATGAAAACCAAAATGAATAGATTATTTGTTAAATGAAACAACCCACTAAATACAAATGTTGAGAAGAGAGTGACATGCATGCAAAAATGAGCTGCTGCGTAAATTTGACTTTCTAAGAAAGTAGTACTAGTACAAGTAAAAGAAGAGACAACTAAGAAAAATATATGAATATGATGGATAAACTCGTGGCCTGGTCAATTTAAATATAAAGTCTATTTAATTTATTATGGGATTAATATTAAAAATAAAAATAATAAAGAAGCAGGTGCGCAGATGCCGACATTATGATTGAATCTTCGAGGCGGCTACCTTTGCATTACTGCTAGTTTAGCTACTATGGCCATTTTGGTGTGCGTTTCTTTCATCTACCCTTTTTTGACCACTCTATTTTGTCACTTTATAGTTTGCAATATACTCCAAGTCTCTAATAGGCCAATTCCTCCATTTTAGGGGTGTCAATTCCGGTAAACAGTTCAGATTTGAGTTGGATTTATTAGTTTTGGGTTAATGGGTCGATTTATAACAGGTTAAATTAATTAGTGGGTTGGTTAAGGTTGGTTTTGAAAATCATCCGGTCAGTTCGAATTGATTTTTTTAATTGTTGTTTCTATTCGAATCTGGTCCTAATCGGGTCCGGTTGTAGTTGGTTCGGGTCATAATCAGTTTGGGTTGAATCGGGTTGGTTTTAAAATAGGTTTAGCCAGTTTAAAGTGGGTTTCAGTTCAAAACAGTTCGGATCCTAATCGGGTCATCGAGTTGTAATCGGTTCGGGTCATAATCAGTTTGGGTTGAACTGGGTCGGTTTAAAAATGGGTTTTGGTTCAAAACAGATCGGGTGAAATTGGGTCTGGTCATTATCGGTTCAGGTCATAATCGGTTTGGACTGAACTTGGTCGGTTTAAAAACGGGTTTACCCAGCCAATGTAAAGCGTGTTCCAGTCCAAATTATATTGGGTTAAAATCGAGTCGGATCATTATGGAGTCGAGTTAATCAGATAATGGGTAGGAGTGGGTCATGTTATAAATCTCATAATGAAGCTAAATCATAATAAGCTAGGTTAATTAATGTAGTGGGTTGAAACGGAACGGATCAATAAACATATTGGGAACCGACTGAGTCATAACAAGTTAACGGTCGTAAATAGTTTGGTCTCAAGGTAAAAAACAGTTCGGTCTCGATGAGTTACGAGTTGGAAACGGTTTTTTCATAACAGGTTACGTGTTATAAATGGTTCGGTCACAACAGGTTATGGGTTGGATCAGTTTAGGTTTATCGGATTTTTGTCTGGTTTAAATAGTTTTCGATTTAAAATGGGTCAGTTTACTATCGACTTTAGACGTAATCGGTTTGGGTTGTTGTCAGTTTTGGGTTGTAACGGTTTGGCTTGATAACGGGTCGGATTAGTACCGATTAACACAAATTCGATTCAATTCAGTTTCGGGTAGAAATTAGGTTAGGTCCATTTTCGGTTTCCAAAAAAAGGGTTTTTAATGAGATCGGTTTGAAACAGTCGTGTTTAATAGTTCGGGTCAGAAACCGACAGCTCTACTCCATTTATATTATGGAGTACTTCCTTTGTTCTCTTTTGTTCTAACATTCAAAAATTTGAACTATTCATGTTATTTTATTTAACTATTTGTTGACTTAGGTCTTTTTTTAAAAAAAAAATAAAAAAAAATTAGTGAACTCAAATAAAATAGCTAAATTGAATCGAGCAAAAACAATAATCTAAACTGAAAATTAGACCAAAAGATCGAATAGAGTCTTATCAATCAATAGCATAATACTAAAACAGACACCACAAATGACGACACGTGTTAATTCCTTATAATGTAGTTTTTTCCCTAAAAAAAATCCCTTTTTTGCTAAAATCTTTCCGACAAGTTTGGTATAGTATAACTATCATAATATTATTTCAAATATTTTATAAGTATCTTTTGTACCAAATTTATTATTTTTAGTTATAAGTCTGTTTTCCATAAATATTACTGTATGATAAATTTTTAATACATCATAATTTTTTTTCATTCAATTGATTAATACAATTTAAAATGATGAGTCTGTTAAATAATAGATTTGTACTACACAAATTATTATTAAATGAGAATTTTGATTTTAGCAACATAGCATAACATTATAAACACTTTATCTATACATGAAATCATGTAAGATAATTTGATCAAATTTTTGTATTTGTATCTCCAATACTTTCATATAGTATCATAATTTAGGGAAAAAATTGACTAAATATCAAAACGGGGTTATCATTCCCGCCCATTAAGTGTAATACACAATTTTAAATACTTATGAGTATTTAATCTGATTAATACAAAGAAAATTTCATACTAAATTATCATTGAATTTTTAAAACACTCATATGGTCTAACATGTAGATGTAGTTTTAATATATACTCATTTGTCTAACTGACTCTTTCGTTGTATTTCATGTTTCATTTCATTATATACGCAAAATAAGAAGATAATAAATATGTTATATATAGATGTATTTTTATCTATGCTATTTTTTAATACATTTTTTTTTCTTTTATTGATTAAATTTAGTGAAATAGCTGTGTATAACACGAGACCTAATCTAGTATTTGTATATAACCTAACCCGACTACCTTGTATTTTATATTCATTTTAAATCAATAAAAATTTCAAACCACAATAATATTTTATTTTTTTATTCGCTTCCCTGCAAACATGTAAAAAAAGGCAAATAAAACTTTTACTTGAGGATGGAAGGATGCTATGTACTCCCTTTGTATTGTATTACTTGCTCCATTACTCATGGGCATGTATGACGAAGCAAATCTTAGATTAATAATATCTTTAATTATCAATAAGTATAAGTTATAACATTTGAGAATTAGTAATCAATTCATTGAGATGATTCCAACAAATACGCACTAAACTGAATTTTTTTAATGTAAAAATCTTAAACATTAATCAAAGTATGTCAAATGAACAGTGCAAATGGAGAAAGTAATAAAACACGGAGGGAGAAACAATTTTCTTAATGCATAGGGCTTATACAATTTTTTAAAAAGGGCTAAATTTACTTGTAAAAAAAATGTATTAGGTTTTGTGTAACTTCTCAATATCCATTGATCAATATACATACGGATTACAATGTACTTCCTCCGTTTCTTTTTAGTTGACACGATTCTTTAGTCACGTTTGCCAACGCACGATTTCAACCGTTAATATCATTAATTATCGCTAAGTAAAAATTATAAAAAGTTGATATCTTGAAAATATATACAGTGATGAATCTAACAAGACCTTACATGACTATATTTTTCATTACGTATAAATTACAAAATATGGTCAAAGGAAAGTGTGTGAATAGTGCTACAGTAAAAAAAGTGTCAACTAATAAAACACGGAGGTAGTAATTCCTAACTGTGTTAGAAAATCTCAAAAGATAAATATACAATATTCACAAAATATATTAAAACCTATGAAGAATAATTTTATATATATTCTATCACGCCTCCACAAACATAGTGGAGGAGGTTAAACGCTGGGATGGGATCTAAAGTCCAAATTAAACATTAGTTGGCGAGGTAGGCATTTTGTGAAAATGTTTGCAAAATGATATCTAATAAGAACATGTAAAACCCCATACTTAACCCAACACCACCTTCTTTGACGTGGTTTGTGTGTTGGCGTTGAATGGGTTTTTGAGAAAGATAAATTGCACAGGCATTATCACATTAAACAAATATAGCATGTTGGAGAAGGCAATGTAACTCATGAAGTAGAAGATTACGAAGCAAACAAGCCTAAGCAACAACATTCGCGACCTCTCATTATATATTTTGCCTCTACACTTGATCTAGAAAGAGTAGCCCGACGCTTAGAAGATCATAATTGAGACTCCATGATCAATGGAACCCTGAATGTATCACATGATATTTAATTTTCTTGTTAAAATTTAATACCCCTAAAAGTTATAATATTAAGAAATAATCAAAAGATTTTCTTGTTTGAATTCAACTGCGTGCTCAAAGGTTGTATTATGACATTTTTTCCTATTTTATATTTGTAATTTCCTTAGACCTAATTGATAACTACTTTAAAATCACAACAGGAAATTAAGAAAATTTTAAACAAAATAATTGGGTGTTATTGATATTTTTTCGTTGTAAATTATGGTCTTAGTATGATCAT